TGAGTTACAAAAAGAGCAGCAGTATGCTTGTCCGTACGAAATTGATTTCGTGTATTGTACGAATAAGGCATTAGCATTTTGTCAGATGACAGGCAATACGAATGTTTCGTACAATTACAGAAAAAGTGTTTTATCTACGAAATCCATTTTTATGAAACGAGCGTCAGAGAATTAACGAAAAAATATTTTCAGTGTGATGTCATACACGTCTGTAGGGCGGTGCAGCCTCATGAAGATAGTTGTACCTTTAAAACGTGGCGTGTTAGGGGAATAGTATATTCAGGACATTAAGCCAGAAGACCATGAGGCAGTCAAATACGATCAAATTTTTCTGTCTTAGAAGGTCTGATTGTAAAACATCGTCCATGTTGCCATCTGCTGTCTACACTGTGGAGGGCAGTATGCTCAACAGATGGTGGTAGTGTTCAAACGTTAATGTACATAGATTTACTATGCGCTATGCATGCTGTCGATGAGTACACTACTGACTATCAAAAAAAAAAATCAACCGTTAAATTAGTGGACGATAACTTGTATGTGAAGTCATTTTTCTATTTGTCTAAGATAATAGACAATGGAAAATGACAATTAAAATAATAGAAAAGTATAATTGCATTATCTTTAAAAAAAAAAACAAATTAAACTTTTCAGTCACGAAATAATTATTTTGGCAACATTGTGCTGAAAATCTGTGGTTGTAGCTTCGTAGTCCAGTAATCTTCTTTATATTTAACATATTACATGATTTTTTCTTTATTAAGGAGATTTCAAGCCTTTAGCTAGTTCATCACCACATGAAATTTAATACCCATGTCCAATAGACCAATACTTGAAGCTTAATTTGGAGAATATTACGATTTAATAACTTCTCTCAAGGTTAAAATAGCCAAGTAACATTTAAGGTTTTATGATGTACTACAAGGCTTCTATAACACAACATTCATAAAAAACCTGGTCAAGATAGCTTTACCTTTACTACATCCACTAAAATCTCATTGAGACTAGATTCTGTCTAGTTGCCCCCCTGAAGGATGTTCTAAAGAGTATTATCGAGACATTTTAAGAATGACTTGCTGCAAAAAGGTTATATGAGGAATACATTGAGAACCATTTGAAATCTTTATTTAAAGTACCAAAAAAAAAGCCATTTGGTATCAATACTTGTGCCATTAGCCTTTGACACTTGCTTTGCGCACTAAAAATAAAGCATCAATCAAGATAAAATGGAATACATAAATATCGTCCAATTTTGCCAAATTCATTGTTCAAAAATAAATCTGTCAAAAATACTCATAAATTTCCTCGTCATTAAAGTGAAAGAATCACTAAAATTATCGGAACTCGTATTGTGGTCTATTTTTAGGTGACAGATTAAATCTTATATGAAATGTGCTTCGGAAGATCGAAACAAATAAGTCCGCCTTCGGAAAACGTTGATTTGACTTATTATTTTTAATTTAGCTTACAAAATATAGTTATTTGTTATGTTAATCATTGCTTCCAGCCGAGACAATTTGATGATTTTCGTAATCTCTATTACTGCTCATTGATAAATTGATCTTGAAAAACGAAGATTGTAAAAAAGCATATGGAATAATAACAATATGTTCTATTCCAGCGTTGGATCAACAAGTTGCGTGACATCCTTGATAAGGGCGATTCATCTATTGGAATTAGTTACTCAGGAAGTGTTTCTACGTAACTTGGAACAGGTGGAAGCTCAATCGTTTCCGAAAAGTTTTCCTTCTTCTGGATGATGCGATGAAGTTTATGTGCGCTTGCTTGGAATTTTTGGAACAGTTAACCCTTTCGCCGAATGAAATCGTTGCTATGGTTCGGAAGGCAGTCAATTTCCAGCTGACGGACAGCTTTTGAAGTTCCGGTCAGCAGTTTTCCGCAGTCCCAGTTTGGCACTGATGCTATTCGGATCAGGCTTTAAAAGGTTTTTAAAACAGCATAATGCTGAACTACTGATCAAGAATGTTTTGCACTTTTAAATACTGTATTTAAACTAAAAATATTGCGTATTGCTGTTATAAAACCACAATAAATCAGAGTGAAAGCCAAAAGGCTGTTAAATTGTTACTTGGATAAGATACTATTGTTAGTCAATCCTAGACCATTGCAGGAACTGGTGGAGTTTTAGGATAACTGAGGCCTCGATGGGTGATAGCTGAACCTTGGAAGAAAGTTCACAACACTCTTATTCGGTCTTAAAAAAGATCACCTCGTTTAGGCTGGACTGGGAGAATAAGAAGGGCGCAAGTAACAAAAAAAAAATCAACTTGAGGACTATATGAAGGAAAATTTTAAGATCACTTATTTAATAATAAAATTATTCTTCCTTTTCTTCTCTGACCTGTTCTGATTGGCTACCAAATGGCACCAACCAAGCAGCGCGCTGTTTGTTTCGATGTGGTGGTGAAGCTCTGCTTGGGAAGGCACAGTTGGCGGCTGGTCGATGAAGACTTTCTTCTTTTTGCACCACACACACGCATTTGCACTTGGTTTGTGAAAAGTAGGTGGGATGGGAACGATGAGATTTTATTTTCCGGAAAGGAGCTACACGTTAACTATTAAATTTTCGCACTATATTTGCAAACAATTGTGTTTTGTACAACGCACGAGAGCTCGTGTTACAAAAGTTGGCACGCGTAATGAAAGGTTAAACTTTTCAGTCGTTAAATAATTTCAAAATTAATTTGAAACAGTAAGTCAAGAGAAAGAATCAATTTATTCTTGATTTGATTTTGTGAGATCTTGTTTTCCGTGCTGAGCACCAATGCTACCGACGCTAGGACCCTACCTATCGACCCATCAACTCATGAACCGGGGACCAACGGCTTTACTTCCCTAACCCTCAGAACATCCCGGCGGCGCCGACTGGGATTGAATCCAAGTCTGCTGGGGTCCCTATTAGCACACTGGTCACAAACCTGTTGAGGTTACCTCTATGTGACTGTTTGGGTCACAATCAAGTTGCTGCAACCTTCTGTGCCGGATGTGTGCTACTTGGGGTGAGAGGCAATCACGCTTACCACTACACCACCGGCGCCGCTTAGAGAAAGAATCCATGTTTTAAGACAAAACGGCAAAAAATAGAATAAAATAAAAATATTTTTTCTTATTTTTTTTTACTTTTTGGATGGTGTTGATGAAAAGATGGTGTTCCTCGTGGTGCCATCAAACGGGATATTAATAGATACGCATGCTATGAAAATTGTGTTTAAAGTTTTCAAATGTGGGTTTAACATATTTGGCAACACTGTACATACAAAATAGATGCATATTTACATATAACAGTAGTGGAACTTCGGAATAGACAGTGACTCCACTATTCATTGGCGAACACTAGCGCACCTAGCGGTAGAAGGCATCTTCTGCCTGCAGTTAAGATAGGCAACATGCTAAGATAGTGTGAGTGCGCATAGAGGCTAGCCATTAAGTGAAGAGGTTGCGATCCGGTAGAAGAGTTAGTGAGTCGATACAGATATTGTTCGTAAATTTATCCGACTGCACATCAATCGAAATTGACAAACTAATGGTATTAAAATCAGTAGCTATGAGGTCTCTATAGTTCTGCATGATCACTTATCATATTGAGTAATTTGTTTATTTTTAGGGCATTTTAGAACCCTAAAATTTGAAAATGGGGCGATTAGGGGTGAAATTAGTCAAGCTCTCGAATGACTTTCGAGTAAATTTCTAGTTACTGTTCCTATTAAATTTGTATACCCTGAATCCGATTCAGATGTTAAAATCCTTGTACAAAGTGTTTTTTCCGCAGAAATTTCAAAGAAAATTTCTTAAAATGCATAGTTTAAAAAAATCACTAAATTTCACAGAAAAAACTGTGATTTTTTAATATTGGAAACATTTCACCGCAAATTTTCAAATTATTCCGATCCAGTGACGCTTAGTCCAATGCCAAATGCCACTTTTAAGCTAATGACAGCAATAGTTGCAGCCTTGTGATCTTTAATTGACTATTAATAACTATTGAATGCTGTCAGTCTAGTTTTTTGTTATGAGAAACTCGTTTAAAGACTGAACTCTCACGATGAATTTTTATCTAGATTTGTATCACCTAAACTTATATACGTGACAACTAAATTAGCAACCAATTATGATAAATTTTCTCCCGCATTACGCTACTTACAGTGCACTAACGATTTTAAATTGGCTCACACTGGACTAGCCTATCGCAAGTACATCGCACAACGTACCCCATTCTATTCGAAATTCTAGAGCTACACTATGTTTGTTTTGATTCGCTATGAAAGTTTGACAGATAAAATGAGGGGTTCATGATTTTTCCTATGTTTCGTGGGGTGCAGCTTGGGACCGAAAAGACTACCAGAGCTGAGCCAAAAAGTTGAGCACGTTTTTTCGGGACCTTCTGGTCTTAGTAACCTCTATGCCTCTAGTATGCAACGCATTTTCCAATTGAAGACGTTAACGCTGACTTTCGGCGTTCATCATTAACAACCCTCGAACTTTTTTTCCTTGTTTTTTTTTCCGTAGATCTTGTTTTCCGTACTGAGTACCAATGCTATCGATGCCAGGAAGACAGTTCCCAACCAAACCTGGACCCTACCTATCGACCCATCAACTCATGGACTAGGGACCAACGACTGTACTTCCCTTCTGAAGGAAGGCGTGATCAAAGATTTTATGCCTTAGAAAATCCCAGCGGCGCCAACTGGGATTGAACTCAGGCCTTTTGGGGTCAGAGGCAATAACGCTTACCACTATATCACCGGTGCTGCTAACCCTGGTACTTATGCATACCATTTAATTTTAAAAATGTTTTTTTTTTTAAATTTCATATATTAACTAGAACCAAATCCTTATCGATTGAAAGTTGTTTCATCATAAGCCATTGAGAACTGTCTACCTGTTTTTAATTTTAACTTGTCAGATCAAAAACGTCAGCCACGTAAGTATTAAAATATTTGGTAAACATTTAAAATGATCAATTTCGTATCTTCTGCACTTACCGAATCTGATGCAAGTTGATTCTGCGGACGTCGGTGAGGCTGACTTTAATGACGTTTCTACGCTGTTTCTGTTTTCCAAGACGAGGCTCCCTCTGTTGTTCGCCAATTACTTCCCACTAAGTTGCGCGGTTACTTCACCGAACTAGACACAACACAGTCGCAAAAGCGAGCCTATTATTTAATCAACTTTTTCGCTTAGTTATTTTACAGTGATGTTGTTGTTATTGTTGTTGTTGATGTTGTAGTCGATGTTAATGTTGTGGTTGTATACAACTTTTTCGATCCAACGACGGCGCCCGATGATGCTATTGCTGCTGGTGGTGGTTTATTCCACTCTGCTGCGTGATCGTTTGGAAGATGACGACGACGACGACGATGATGGCAATGCGGTGATGATGATGCTGCGAAGAAACGATGGCTGTTGGTATATAAAAACCACCAACCATGCAATGGCTATATTACTGATGCGGCGTAAATTTGCTATGCAAACTTTGCGGGCCAGTGGTGCAATATGCATTCTGTTTGGTCAATCACACTGCTGCTGTGGTTTTATGTCGAAAAGAGCGTGAACATCACTTGTTAACAGTGAATGTATGGAAACATTTTGAAAGATTACACGTGATTATCTGTGTCAAAATCTTTTGAATTGGTCGACTTAAATTGTAGGAAAAGGATTTATCAAGAATACGTATACAATCTTTAAATCATCATCAATCATCATAAATTGCCCAATGTCGATCTAAATGCCCTCATGATTGGGTCCATGCACAATTTCCTAAATAAAGCTATTTTTATTCATTTTGTGCCAATCTTTAAATCCATATACCAATGTTAGAGCCATTTTCCCTTTATACTAAATAACCACCCATAGATTCCTAAATGAAGTCGTCAGAAGCCTTTTCAAATATATTATTAAAATTCGGCCATCTTACTTTGTCTAGACCTAGGAAAGCATCTTGTGACGGTTTTGATCGGAAATATTGATCCTGGAAAAGAGGCTCGTCCGAAGAAAAAAAATCGCCATTGGATAGTTCACGCTGGTTTAATGTTCGTGATGATCGAAACCTTCACAAGATCATTCAACTTTTCAGTCATCGATCAAAAAGCCTATAATATAACAAATCGAGGATTACCTCTTTAACAATCTTTTTGATTGCCATCAATACATTAATAGAGTAAACCAAGATAAAGATCAGACACCAGAAAACAATCCCCAACCTGTTGATAATGTTGGTTTGCATGATTAAGGTTGTTTGCGAAAAATTGACGATCTATACAATGGAGAACAACCTGCAGTAAGTTTAAGAGATAATATTGGCTTACTAAAGATTGTGCATATATTAAACTCAAAACAGGAAAAGATTCATTATATAGTTAAAGTCACCAACGTAGTGAGGGCCGTGAAAACGGTCCCCAACAATGCTCAAGGAGTGGAGTTAACACGTTTCATCATAGCAACTTTTCCACGAATTTAATGTCATTATCATTGTGAGAAAAATAATATGTTCCAAAATTGCAGCTAATTTTCTGAGATCCATAATGTTTTGATGTCCGAGATCTCTAAAGTCTCAGAACATTAAAGATTCTCTGTGTTACAGAATAATGAAATTTATTCGATGGCCGCTTGGCTAGACTGAACGCTATTGAGCTAAATTATATTTTCAAAGAGAGAAATGTTTAGTTAAAACAGAAATTGTTTTAAATGAAAATATATGTATAACTAATTGAAATATTTAAGATGTTTTATAATCGCTAAAACAGTTTCGGGTAACCCGTGACTTGTCAGGAATTAGATTTGAACTCGTGACTTTGGCATGAATCTTAACCACTATGCTGGAGCCGTCCTTATTACTGAAGTTGTCACTTGTCAGACTTTGCTATGCAAACTTTGCGGGCCAGTGGTGCAATATGCATTCTGTTTGGTCAATCACACTGCTGCTGTGGTTTTATGTCGAAAAGAGCGTGAACATCACTTGTTAACAGTGGCATAACCGGCGCCGGCAATCCTCGAAACTTCAAGAGGACAAATATCACAACTAACACAATATTGAACAATAAAACTACAACTCCGCGTTTGATTCAGTGTAGCGAAAAAGGAGTTCCAGTTTCATGAGCGATGTCACAATAGTAACCGAGATGTGTACTCTAGCAAATTTGACGTGCTAGGGTATATCAGCCTTCGTGACGGTCATTTTTGGAATAAAAGTTCTAATTTTCCACGGTTTTATGCCTTTAGATGAGAAAGCCATTCTCTAAAAGTTTTAGCTCATTTGGTTGTAGGCAGGGTGGCTTGCACTAACTTGCTATAAAAAAAATGTTTTTCGGAATAATGAAATCATTATATGATATCCGGAGTAATTTGAGATTTGGGCGTAATTGCTTTTCTAAACAAACACGTAAATCACCGATTTCTCTCGAACAATAGCTCAATCTCATAAACAAACTATACCAAATGATACAGGAATCATTCCTCTACCTGATAGTGTTATTAGTTTTCGAGATTGAGCTTTTATTCGTGAAAAATCGGTGATTGACGTGTTTGCTTAGAAAAGCAATTACGCTCAAATCTCAAATCACTCCGGATATAATGATATGTTGTACTTGCAAGTAACAAGAAGAGGGTGAAAAGTGTGCGTTTGACTCATAAAACCTATCAATTTCGCTTTCAGAGCATCACAATCAGCGATTTTATGATTCATGAGCGTTCACTCAGAGTGAACGCTCACGAATCGGAAAATCGGTGATTTTGACGCACTGAAAGCAATATTGACAGGTTTTATGTGTCAAATACATACTTCACGATCCCGTCTTATAACCTTCAAGTACTTATAACCATTATAACATCTAATGATTTCATAATTCCGAAAAACAATTTTTTATAGCAAGTGAGTGGAAGCAACTCTGGTTGTAGGATGAGTTGGCGCTTTTAGATTTAATTTTGTATTTGCTGTATTACGATTCAGGTTCATCGGTAAATTGAAACTTTATCAGTGTTGAAATTACTATCTGCCAGTGTTCAAAAATGTATGACACAAAATCAATAAAATTGCAGCCTTCTATATTTCCATGCCATCACATTTCAAATCAATTATGAGCCGAATATTGTTGATTTATGACTCTCATATCACTGCATTACTGCACACACCAGCCCAGCATTCTGTAAGTCTGCCAAAGATTTGATTATAGGCCTTAAGCACATATTTTTGGCGTCGTTTTAAACCCATTCATCCCTTTAAAAGACCGTTGCGTACATGTTCAATCTCTTTACGCTCCCGGCACTTCCTCAATCACACTGAGTCACTTTCTTCCAAGCACTTGTCTCTCAAAACATTCCAAGCCCCAGTGTACGCACACAAGCACTTCCCCCCATTTGCATGTACAGAGGGGTACCGTTGTTTGCGGATGGAATTTTCACCGGTAATATTTTTTCTGGATTCCTTGATGCCTGTTTTTTTTTTAGAAATAAAGATACCATTCGCGGTCAGTATTCTTACTACCAAAGATCAGGTAGCTAGGTATTGGGAATAAGAAATACCGGCTAAAACTCCATCCGCAAACAGCGGTACGTCTCTGTAGTAATCCACCAATTATTCGCTTCTGCTTCTCCACTTTACGTAATGTGCACTCTTCATGCGCCAATTCTTTGGTCACGGCTCTCCAACTCTATTAAAAACTTTGCGTAGGTTATGTTTGCTCGTTCACTCGCGATTGCATCAAACCGTTTCGTGTTCTCTTCTCTTTCACTTCGTCCACATCTCTTTTCACTTTCTTTTGCGTGCACTTTTCTCGCGGTTTTTTTTCTTTTCTTTAATTTCTCGTGTCTCCCCTTTTTTCACTCTCTTTCCGAGTACGCGCACTCGCTAGACAACACGGACCGGCGTTTCGATTTTTGCTGTTTCACTGAGGCGCAGCTCGATTACTTCACTTTTCGAGCTTTGGCGTTTCAGCTGCATGGCGCGAAGAAATGCCTCTGCGTCGAGGGGAGTTGCTATTTTCACTTTCTATCACAACACACACAAACGGGTTTGGATCCACGAACGGCTTGTTGTGCACTCGTGGGGAGGAAAAATGTGTGAGATGAGAGAAAGAAAAATAAATAAAAGTTAGGTAATAGCGATGAATTCGTTATTACTTCATTGTTACATCGCGTGTGGATCCGTCACTGGGGCAGTGGATTAGGGATTTTTTTGAAACTCGACCGAGACACGATTCGAAGCAGTTAAACGCTCAATTATCTGGTAACAACGATTCGTATCTTGTAATTAAACAATTGGCACTTTTAAATCAATTTTCTTTGTTCTAACTGCATCACATAAGCTCTTTTGTCTTCACCAAAGCTTTGTATTGTATCACTATGAGTAGATGCCAAGCACAATATACCTAGATGACTCAATATGACTAATTTACAAATCGGGAACTTACAAATCAATTTTCTTCTAACAGCTTATCGGAAATCTTCGCCTTCCAATACAATACGAGCCACACAATAAAGCTCACAACCAATTCGCTAGATCCTGGGAAATCTTTTTACAAATTGAACGCGACCGGACGCGCGGTTCCGGGATGAATCGCGGATAAGTACAAAACTCGCTACCGACACGTACGAATGTTCTTTGTAAACTGATCGGATACACAAAAGCTGTGTTGTGAACAGTCCCCTCTGGCAAAACCGACGCGACGAGAGCGTGTGATCGATCCTCCTCGCGCTCACCTCTTCTGTTTTGCGGTGTAGAGCCTCAGAGTGAGCTGGCGAGATCCGAAACCACAACAACAGCAGCGCGAAACAACAATAACAACAATCCGACCGTGCTACGGCGGGAGCACTGATCACCGAAGACGACGACGTTTGTGGCGGTGACTACGTCAGTGTAGAGGCGGAAAAACAAACCCAAGCTGAAAGTCCCCAACACTGAACTGGATGGAGCTCATGCTTGCGAGTACCGGTTCTTTTGGGGACTCAGCTCTCGCATCGATCGATGTAGGGAGTGGGCGAAGTTGTGTTAGTTGATCGTCGTGATAAGGGTCTAGATTTAGGGTGGTTATTTGATGCTGTTCAAAGATGGTTTGTGACGGCGACGAAGGTTGAGTGGTAAGCGTGACCGCTTTCTCACCCCAGTAGGTCTGGGTTCAATCCCAGCCGACACTGAAAACGAATCTTACTCAGCGTGTGAGCTACTTTTACTTATTCGTATCGAGACATTTTTACTAGTGTAGGTTACTCATGCTCTGAGTAACCTACGCTTTTAGAAATTTCATCATACGAATGAGTAAACGTTACTGATAACTTAGTAAAAGTGACTCTCTCTCTGAGTTAATTTCGTTTTCAGTGGAGCTCATTGGATTTTTTTGAGGCGAAAAATCTTTGGTCCCAGCCCATGTGTTTATGGGGTCGATAGGGTCCAGCTGTTGAGTCACCTCCCTGCGGAACATAGACCGAAGGAAAATAACAATGAATATAAAAAAGATGGTTTGAATATTAGGATCAATGAATGATGCTATTGAAGTGAAACATAATAACATGGTCAATACTTAAAGAAGGTCATAATGAATCACATATTTTTACTATTCGGAAGCTAGGCAAAGGGTCCTAAATTAGCATTCAGAAAACAATTTAAAGCAGCTTTCCTATTAAACTATGAAATATCACAGGGTAAAATTTTTGAAAATCCCACGAGTGGAAATCGCTTAGTAATGTTCTACAAATTAAATTAACTTCAATTCAAAGCTATTATAATTTTGCTGTTTTCTACTATATATTTACAAATTTGATTATATCTCGCATATCTTTTTAAAATGTTACTGTAAAATTCTCATAAGAGGCTTTTCATAAACTACGTAAAAACTTTAGGGAAAAAATGTGTATAGACAATTGTCTACGTGGGGTGAGGGGGATTCTAAAACCTAAATCGGCCTACGTAGTTAATGAACAGCGCTTAATTTGTAAATTATTCTCGACAAATTGTTTCATAATATTTTTACACTACCTAAAATATTAATTTGCTGCATAAACTGAATGAATAATGAAAATTCTCATCTAAAAAGATAAATAAATTGTAGAAAATGATGCCCTATTACCGAACCCAGCAAACTCTTCGAAAAATTTATATTTAGGTACATGTTTAACTTCTAAGGGAATTCGATCCAATTAGGCCTAACTTAACGGCTTCCTGTAAAACTTATCAAGGATGATTTTTGGAATATTTTTGGAATATTTTTATGACTTTTTCGATAAATCCTTATTTTGCCTAGTTATCACATAGGTACTTTCACAAAGATACGTCCAATATAATATGCATATAATGTACACCCCGTTTATTTGAGATTATAATACAAAAAATGACGACAAAAAAACGATTTTAAGGTGCTCCTGTCAAGAATTCACTTAAATCTAGTAAAGATAAAGATAAAGAAGCTTGGTGTCTTGAGCAAAGTTTCATAAAATTTGTTTTTCTACAACATTGCTCAAGACATAAAGCTATTATCTCGAACCAGTAAAAAATAGTTTTTGCAAGTGTAATACCAGGTTAATAAATATTTAGGTAATTATTTCAAAAGACTCGGACTATTATTACGAGAAACTTCTTCCAAGACACCAAGTCTTTAAAAGGACGGTAAAGGGGAGAAAAAGGTATTGACCGTCTTTTTTCAGAATGGTCCCACTGTGCAGTGGTTGAAAATGTGATTTTTGTGCTCATAATGCTTAGCGCTTTAATAATATATTTTAGAGTAGTTATGAAAATAACAGTACACAGTAAGTGATGTTGACCTTTAGTACCTCATATTACTGATTTCAGTATAAACATGGAAAAAAGCCGAATGTTGTGCAACTATTAAAGTTTTGCCGAGTGTAGTCCGATAAAAACAGTACCAAACATCGTGTTTGCGATGAAGTGTGTTAACAAATAGTTTAAAAAAATTTTAAATTTTCCAACGGGAAAATTTCACGTAATTTATTTTAAAAGCATTTTATAAAAAAAAATAAAGAATTAAAGAGAGTAATATTTTGTTATATAAGTTTTTAGAAATTTCTAGGATTTTCCTCAATAAAATCACTTGGTGTTTTTGATTTTTGATTTGTTACAGAATATCGAATACACAACTTTTAAATATATGCAAGATATATGCAAGGGAATTTTAATAATATAATCTTTCTACCGATAACATACCGTTGCTTACTTAAATTCATCTAAATTAGTTAGAAATGTTGATGTTAAAACCGCATAAGAATTATTCTCATGAGTGCTTGATCATTGGAAAATTACAAGAAAGCTAATGATAGGTAGTTTCGTTTCATGATACTGAGTGTACCTGTTTTCTCATTATCACATGACGGTCGTGATATTTACCAGCTCTGATTGCAACATTGATGTTTTAGCACGTGGAACTGAGCACAAAAATCATGACTACTATGTCACACTGGTCTATACAGTATTGTCCACAAAGTAACTGCTTGATCATCTCTTAAAATTATCATTTTCTTAAATAAATATTTCATTTAGCGTTTGGCAGAACAACGATCTTGAAGAAAGTTGTAGCTGAGAAAATTTCCTTCAAGATCAGCTATCGAGCTTCTTCTCAGAGCAATACAGATAAAGGCTTGAAGCAGTGAAAAAAAAGTAGTAATTCCCATACAAGTTTTAAATAGTAGTCAGTTTCTAACCAAACGAGTAAAAATATTGGGAGGCTAACCGGACCCGATTTCGAACCGTGCTCCATTTGGTACATTTGCACTTAAATTTGAAAGATAAATTTTTTTTCAAATAACCCTGCTATTCCACCAAACTCACTTCTGACAGACAACGAATCAATTTTGACAAACATCTTCTTGAAAATCAACCGATCATCAACAGAGGGATTTTCGATCATTTTAATTTAATCTAGTATCAAGTAGAATAAAACGGCCAATGTAAGATGTCCGATGTACAAATTGACTAGTCAAATCGTCCTATGCGGTTTTTCTATATTTTAGCATGAAATTCAAAGTAAAATTGTGATTTTACCGTTTCACTGACTACATTACATTACTATTGCAAAATGTTTTGTTTCTGAACAGTTAAAATAATAATCTGTCATCAGCTAAAATGCTATTTTTCGGAATTATGAAACTATGAGATACTATAATGATAATTTTTATTTGTAAGAAGCAAGAATGGGTTGTAAAGTTTGTGTAAGACATAGACAATTAGTCAATTTTGCTTTCATAAGGTCACAGCTAGGAATTTTATAATCGCTGATTGCTCGCTCATCGCGTTGCTAAATTGACAGGTTTTATGTATCATACAAACATTTTACCTTTTCTTATTGCATCTTGTAAATACGAATTATCATTAAATATGTCATAGCTTCATAAATCCGAAAAATAGCTTTTTTAGCTGTAATGAGCATTTGCAAGCTTGCTTCGATTTACTCAAAATGGTGGATATGGTCTATTTGAAAAGTGACGCGAGATTTCTACTTTTTAGTTGGGACGTCATCCAATTATCGAACTCCCACTAACAAGCAGCCCGACGAGAAAACCCCTAATGAGAGAATGATATCTGCAGAACCACCCCAATGACGCCGTCTCAAACGAATCAAGAAAACATAAAGGCTCTCGGAGTGCCAGCCAGCTATCACTCACCTGATCTCGGTAGCCCAGCCGTCGACAGTTCAACTGTGTTGGTCAGATGTGTACACGCAAAATCACCCGCGGGGCTCGGATGCTGAAGCTCTTTTCCGCATCAAGTGAGGCTGAGCTTGTGCAAACAAAGTTCACGTCCGTACGCCGTAGTTCCGCAATTGGGTAAGCTCATGTCGGGTTGGAGGTTTTGCTGCACCTTCGTCTTTGGTTGGACGGGAGTTTCTGGTTGTAGGCATGGTGGGCGATGTGACTTTTCCGCACGCATAGACAGACACGCTGCAGGGTTGGTCATTCGAGCAGCAAATGCATGCAGTAGGAAGTGATTTCGTTTGGCTCTTTTTTTGTGACGTGATCACTGCACGTGTTTTTGATTAGGCACGTGGCTTGTATCCTTTCTAGTTTATGAATATTCACAAATCTGGTTACCTTCGATCGATAGCTGATTGATTTTCATATCCGCATGTTACATTCACTCACGTTTCATACAATATTTGCCGTGCATGTGAGCGTGAATCACCCTCCAGTTGCCCTCGGTTAAGGTCAGAGTGAGAAATAGCTAAGCTGATGCTGGGTGATCTCCTCTCATATCCCTTACTGAATGGCATCAAATAGGGTGACGAGTTGTTTAGCAAGATTTTTTTTTTCAAACCATCAAAGAGCCTATTATAAAAAATGAATAAAATTATATAAAAAAAAAAACATAAATTTAAATCTTTTAAAAGAATTTGGACACACCTTCAGAATTTTCATAACTTCATACAATCTTGTAACTATGAACAAATCTTTTCAAAATTTCAATAAATGTTTATTAATGTTAATCATTTCGTTCGAACTAAAACTTCTACGCAGCAACAAATGTTTACCTGTTTTTATTTCAAATAAGAGACATGCATTATTGGATGCATTATCAAGATAAAATTGACAGCTTAGCATGCCGTGGCAAATTACTGAATCGTACATTCATTTGAAACAGGTAGGGGAAACGCTCTTATAATTGTGGTACTTTATTAGCGTTAGGTTCCTATAGTTGTGCATGGAAACTCAATACACAACTATAGGAACCTAACGCTTCTTACGTACCGCAACTATAGG